CGACGATCACAATAAATTAATAACAGACTCAGTTAGAAACGCACAACTCAAATTTTGCAAGAAAAATGACACCAAAAGTGAAAAGATTAGCAAAGATACAAGGGCTCTCATGGAAATACGACGAAACCTAAGCGAGAACGAAAAGGGAAACAGAGAAGAATATAAAAAACTAAATAAAAGAATTTCAGCGGAAATTAGAAAATATGTAAGAAGATATAATACTAATGTAATTACTCAAACAGTAGAAGAGAACAAAGGTTTAAAGATAATGAAAAGAAAACTTACGCAAAGTAAAAAAGAAATATACAAGCTGAGAGATAAAGACGGAAAGGCAACAACAGATAAACAAAATATTCTGAAAATAACTAGAGAATTTTATAAAGACCTCTATACCAGCCAAAGACCACAAGACAATTTCCCGACACGAGTAAAGGCTCTCATAAATCAGGGATCGGAAATACTTTTACCCATTACTGTGTCAGAAGTAAGAGCAGCTTTAAAGGAAATGAAGAACCATCGATCGCCTGGTGATGATGGACTCGTTATCGAGGCAATAAAAGCAGGTGGAGAAATTTTATTAAAATCAGTAAGCGAACTGTTCACTAAATGCTTACATGCGGGTACGATTCCAAAAGACTGGAACAATGCAGTAATAGTCTTGTTACACAAAAAAGGCGATATTACTAAATTAGAAAATTATAGACCCATCAGCCTCTTGACACATATGTACAAACTCTTTATGAAAATCTTAACAAAGAGGCTAACACCTAAACTTGATTCCTATCAGCCCAAAGAACAGGCAGGCTTCAGGGCAGGATATGGCACAAATGACCATTTGCATACCATAAAGATCTTAATAGAAAAGTGCATCGAGTACAACATACCACTGGTTCTTGCATTTGTCGATTACGAGAAGGCTTTTGATTCTGTAGAGTTTGAAACAATACTGGAAGCCCTAAATCAAAGCCGAATAGATTACAGGTACACGACACTAATCAAAAACATCTATCAGAACGCTACATCAAGTATACGACTGCACGAAGACACAGAAAAATTCAGCTTAGGTCGAGGAGTTAGACAAGGAGACAATATTTCACCAAAATTGTTCACGGCAGCTCTAGAGTCAATATTTAAGGGTACTCAATGGCAAGATATGGGCATCAATATAGATGGAGAAAGATTAAATCACCTAAGGTTTGCAGATGATGTTGTATTAATCGCAGATAACTTACATGATACAGTTACTATGATGCATTCGCTTAAAAGTCTGTCTGAAAGAGCAGGATTAAAGATAAACTTTAAGAAAACTAAAATTATAACAAATCTCGTAATGAGTGGAAATATAACTATTGACAATAATACCATACAACAAACAGACACTTACAAATATCTGGGACACGAAATCAAAATAAGCAGAGACAATCAAACACATGAAATACAGAGGCGAATAGGTCTAACATGGGCAGCATTTGGCAAATTAAGCCATATTCTAAAAAGTTCAATTCCCATGTGTCTCAAGCGAAAGGTTTATAACCAATGTGTTTTACCTGTACAAACTTATGGAGCAGAGACTTTAAACACTCACGCAAAAATCTGCGAATAAACTTAGAGTTACACAACGAGCCATGGAACGTGCAATGCTGAACGTGAGCCTTCGAGACCACATAACAAACCAACAAATCAGACGAAGATCAGGAGTTCAAGACGTCATCGAAAGAACCACGACGCTTAAGTGGAATTGGGCAGGGCACTTAACCAGAACACAAGATGGACGGTGGACAAGACGTATTATGGAATGGAGGCCCAGAAATTATAAAAGAAGCCGAGGACGACCACCGACTAGATGGACCGATGACATTAAACGTGTAGCGGGCAACTGGCTACAAGCGGCCCAGTGTAGAGAACACTGGAAAGAATTGAGGGAGGCCTATGTCCAGCAGTGGACGCGATTGGCTGATTGATGATGATGCATTGAATAGTAATGATGACAATACACACCCGTGTCGCATTACTCCTTTAATTTCGAACTCTTCTGATGTGTATTCATTAATGCGTATGTGTGCTGTTTATAATATAGATTTGTTATAATTCGAAGGTCATTGTATTGTAATTGTTTTGCCTTAAGGACGTCTATTAGCTCTTTGTGTTGGACTTTATCGAAAGCCTTGTTGTAATCTAGGAAACACATGAACATATCTTGGTTCACATCCAAACATCTCTGGATTAGTACGTTGAATGCAAAGAGAGTTTCACGTTCTTCTACCTACGCCTCTACGGAGTCCAAATTGGGTTTCTTCTATATCCATATCAAGTATTTGGTAAATGCGTTTATGGATGATCTTTAAAAACATTTTAAGTGTGATAAACATCAGGCTTGTGGTGCGGTGATCGGTGCATTCTCTAGCATTTTTCTTTTTTGGGAGACAAATAAATGTTGAGGTTAACCATTCGTTGGGTATATCAACCGACTGATAAATTTCATTAAAGAGCTTTAAGAGCTTTAAGAGTTTCTGATGTTCTTTAACACATACAATATTTCTTTCTTTGTAATTTCTATACTTGTTTCTCTGTCCTCGAAAGATATGTCTTGTAGGTTCCTCTTTCGTCGTCGAAGAGCTCTTCCATATATTATTTCCATCGTTTTAGCTTTTCGTTAGTCGTTATCATAGTATTTCCATTTTTATTTAGCAGAGTTGTGTTGTGGTTTCTTTTTGGCAGCTTTGCCATTTCTTTAACCTTTTTGTGTAGGTTTAATAGGTCGTATTTGTTCTGAATATATTCTATCTCTCTACATTTTTCCTCATACTAAGTTTATTTAGCCTCTCTTATAATTTTTCTAATTTCATTGTCATTGATTTTGTTGTAAAGACTGCTGATGTATAATAAATAAAGTATATGTAGGTTGATGGTATAAAATATACCATCATACATCAGAAATAAGTCTTTACCTCTATGTAAGTTTGTTTATTTTTATACAATTTCCATTAATATTCAATATTATTTATGTAAAACAAAACAAGGTTAAAATTTCTTCATGTCTCGGCAATTTTTCTTCCAAGTAATTTTCACATCGTACGTGTATATGACCAAGCGAGTATTTATTGCAGGTTGAACGACTGGATTACGTGTTTTTATACCAGCCCATAAAAGAATTCTTTTCCGATGCTCGGTCAAGTTTTACCGAGTACAAAATTGATTGCAGATCGATAAAACGTTATAATAGCGCACAAGAGGATAACTAAGATATTTTAATATACATAAGACTAGATTCCTTAAAGGTGGATTTAAATTTTGAATAGGCAGTAATGGATATCTCTATCGGGAATGTCTTCTGTGACTCTTAAAGAAACTGAAGTGCTACTGCACAATGTTAAAAATAACGAATTCAGTGTTTACGATTATACCATACTAAACTAAAGACCAAAAATTAAAATAGAATAGAATTCTGATCTATTAATTCTTGATCACCTGAGCTTATAAAGTACGGCTTAAAAAAATACAGCGGATGATAAAATGGGTATTTCAAAAAGCCATAAATGGAGAACAGCTACCCAATTGAATGGACGGAGGCATTATGATACCTATATTTAAGAAAGGAGATAGAAAACGATGCGAAAACTACAGAGGAATAAGCATAATATCATCGATAGGAAGACTATATGGGAAGATACTATGAGAAAAGATTGAGCAAGCGATAGAAGGCAAAATCGGGGAGGATCAGGCAGACTTCATGACAGGAAGATCATGCATAGACCACATCTATACACTGAAACAACTATTGGAGAAGAAAAAAGCAAGGAATAGAAGAAAACAAACAAATAAAAAAAAGTACAAATCAGAAATACATACGGAACTCATAGAAGCTACAAAAGCTTTGTATAAAGAAAATAAAATGTCCATTAAAATGGAAATAAGAATCATAGGAAATAAGAATCGCCTCAACAAAAGGGCTCCTGCAGGGTTGTTCTACATCTCCAACCCTATTCAAAATATACTTAGAGAAAGCCTTCACTACATGGAAAAGAAAATGCGAAGGCATGGGAGTACCGGTACAAAACGAATACCTATATACGTTACGCTTTGCAGACGATCTAGTAGTGATTTCACAAGATCTAGAAGACCTCAGTTACATGATGAAGAAACTACAAGAAAAATATATTAAGGCTGGCCTAGATATTAACCTCGAGAAAACAGAGTACCTATCTACAAGTGAAGAAGACATAGAAGATCTACAGATTGACGACAACGTAACGATCAATGGAAAGGATAAATTCAAATACTTGGGGTTTATAATCACGAAAAAGACAACAACAGAGGGAGAAGTTAAGCAACGATTGGGACAAACAAGAACAGCAATTCGACAACTTCACTCATTATAGTGGTATAGACATCTAAATATGAAGACAAGATTAGATTTATAAAATATTAGTGCGAAGTATTATGTCATACGGGGCTAAAAATTGGATTATATACAAGAAAAACAGAAGTAAGATAGTAGCAACAGAGATGGAATGACTGAGAAGATGCTGCAGAGTAACAAGAATGAGTAGGAGAAATAATGACAAAATAGAGCAAAGAACATCAATAGAAACAGACATACTAACATATATAGAACAAAAAAATACAATGTGCACAAGTTAAAATGTGCTTTTAGCAATACGGTGCGCTGTTGTCAGGTTCACTAGTATGTACACTATGATGCACCGTGGGATTAGAGAAATTAAGTTCTTGCCAAAAAAAATGTATAATACGTAAATGTCCATTTAATTGGAGATCAGGTCTTAGGAGGGTGATACTGATATTTTGCTAGTCATATTCAATTTGATGGTATTATTTTGATATTGTGTGAACAAACGAAGTGTTTATTTAGCTTTTGACGTGACAACCGGAACTACTCTTTGTACAAATTTTGATTTTTAAATGCACCTATCTTTAAATGCATAATTTTAACTGCAACTACATCTCTAATATTACTTATTCTTTACAGCGCCAATACCCAGATGGACAACGATGTCACACCTGTATATCTGGCTGCCCAAGAAGGCCACCTAGAGGTATTAAAATTTCTAGTATTAGAAGCAGGAGGTTCTCTATACGTCAGAGCAAAAGATGGCATGGCTCCAATCCATGCCGCTAGTCAAATGGGCTGTTTAAATTGTGTCAAATGGATGGTGAGTACTTTTTACTGCACTATTTTCATTATTTATGAACAATAAATTACGATATTATTACTTCTTAGTTTATAAGCTTTGGTATTAATTTCTCTGCTGAAAAATCAAAAATTACCAAATTCAGTCGAAGAACACAGCATATTATTACTTCAAATTACGTTAAATGATACTCCGCTCACAGTAACTAATGAACGCAAGATACTAGGTTTAATTTTTGATAGTCGACTAACATGAAAGCCACAGATTACAAATGTCAAAGCTAATTACTTAACTAGATTAAATCTATTGAAGTCTCACTGCAAACCATCACTGAAAAACCGATGAAGATATCCTAATTAAGGTATACAGATCTCTCACTCGTTCTCGACTGGATTATGGATGTTTTGTATACATGTCAGCATCTAAGATTTATTTAAGGATTCTTGACATTATTTAGAATACCGCATTAGGAATATGTCCCGGAGCTTTCAGATCCAGTCCCGCTGAAGTATTCGTTGTAAAATAGGTAAACTGCCCCTTTCGCACCTCAGGGAATAACTTCTTCTGACATACTTTGCTAGAGTGTCTTCAAATCAAAATAACCCTCCTCCTCCTAATCCCTTTTGGGATGTGGTGACACCATATAACTATTAGAACGTTTGCAAGAAGTCGGTTTAGATGGAAAATACATCAAATTCTTAAAAAACTTGTACTGGAACCAAAACGCCAGAGTTAGGATAGAAGGTTCCACGTCCCTAGAAGTAGAAATTAGGAGGGGAGTTAGACAAGGATGTGTTCTGTCGCCTCTGCTGTTTAATCTTTACTCCGAGTTTCTATTTAAAGAAGCATTGGAGGATTCCAAGGATGGAGTCAAGGTGAATGGCGTAAATATCAACAGTATCAGATACGCCGATGATACAGTGTTAATTGCGGATTCCGACTCAGGTCTACAACAACTCATCGACAAGACCAACTCGACCTGAGCAGTTTGGTATGAAAATAAACATTAAAAAAACCAAAGTGATGTCAATCCGAAAAAACCAAAACGTACCTCAACCTTGCACAATAAATGGGCACATCCTAGAACAGGTCAATAGATTTAAGTACCTGGGATGTTGGATCGATAGCAGCCTAAATCCTGATCAAGAAATAAGATCGAGAATAGAACAGGCCAGAAAATCTTTCGAAAAAATAAAAAAACTGCTTTGTGAACTGCATGAAAAAAAAACATCATACCTAGACCACATACTGAAAAATAATAAGTACCAATATGCCCAACTTATAGTGAAAGGAAAAATCGAGGGAAAGAGAGGCCTAGGAAGGAAAAGACTATCGTGGCTCAGAAACATCCGACAATGGACAGGGCTAAATTTTGAACAGCTAATAAGAACAGCTGAAGATAGAGAAGAGTTTAAAATTGTAGTAGCCAACCTCCATTGAGGAGAAAGCACTTTAAGAAGAAGAAGATACCATATATCAAAATAACCCTATATATAAGCTAATTTACAAACTCTATAATTGTATGCCTAACACTAAATACCAGACAGTACCTCAAATTTTACTTTCCCTGTCACAACCTGTTGATTTTCAATAATAGATAATCATATACTATCATCAACTCCTCCTTAGATTAATATCATACCAAAAATTAACCTTTAGCTTAATGATTATCACAAAAATAAAACCAACAGCCAAATTCTGAGATAATCTTTCCTATAGCTGGTCAACACTAACTCATATTACGAGATTCTCTACACAGATGCATCTAAAACTAACACAGGTATCGTAATAACTTCAAATAATATTATTAAGAAGTTTTGCCTTTCACAATCCACCTCTATCCATACAGAAGAGCTATACGCCATCCTAGAAGCATTAAAAGGCTTATGTAACCAAACTAAAGTAAAAAACGAAAATATATATTCCGAACATCCATTAGCTCATGCCATACATGAACCAACAAAATGTCTCAATTCTTCTAGAATAAACTTAACATTAATCTGGATTCCTTCATACGTTAGATTTTAGGTAATGAAACTGCTGATTCTGCTGCAAAAGAAACAATTTCAACCAAATCGGACATCAAATCTGTTCAACTAACATCAGATCTTTAACCACTTTTCAGGTATCAAATGAAAATGTCATGGCAAAACCAATGAAAGAATTCAACCGTGAAATTACACAAAATACAACTTTCCAACGAAACCTCTCAGCTGGGTGACAAAGTAGAAGAGACAAATTAAGCGATCGCAGGCTAAGAATTGGTCACACATGGACACCTGATGGCCTCGGAGAAATCACCTGTTTTCTGTGTAGTGAATCACTAACCATTCAACATATTCTTACAGAGTTTGTCAAATTCGACGAGGTTTTTCGAAAACGATTTGTCTTTACCCCAGGATAAACCTCAGTTTCCGTAATAATCTTAGTTCATTTTCATTTTTTTTGTCTGGAGAATTCTTTTGAAGCCTTTAAATAGCAAGTAGCTATTGGGATCCACTTCGAAATAACAGGAAAGTTGTGAAATGTACTTATGTATTTTTGAATAGAATATAATAGAAATATGCTTTATTGTCACTGAAAATTATTGAACAATTTTATGGACAAAGCTAAAAAATAAATCAGTCAAATGGTACAAAAAGTATAAAACAAAAACAAATATAGTAAAAAACAGAATAACACAATTTTAAATTAGTAAAATTATTGTATAACCTACATAATTTGTACAGATAACAACAAATGAGACAAATTGTAGCCACTGCTTGAGACACCCAAATGTAATTATAAACAATACTAATTTTGTTTCTTTGTTATACATTAAGAAACTCGTCAACTGAATAATATGGTCTTTCTGAGAGATAGATTTTTGTCACCTTACGAAACTTAATGAAGAATGTTGCGGATTTAATTTCTCTTGGAAGGTGATTATAAAGTTTCTTTGCACGATATAGAATAGAATTCTTTACTAGCTGAGTGGACGAGATCGGCAAATAAACGTTACAATCCGAATTTCTAATGAAGTAGCCATGGTCAGGTCTATCGGGAAAAATGTTTACATGCTTTCGAATCAAACAAACCGTTTCCAAAATAAATAAAGAGGGAAGCGTCAAAATTCCGTGATTTTTTAAGTAGGTCTTGCAATGAGTTGTTTGTTTGAGACCAAATAGATAACGGATTGCTCTTTTTTGCAACTTAAAAATAGTATCAAATTGGGCCGCTGTACTAGAACCCCAAAATGGAAGAGCATATCGAAAATGGGACTCGAACAATGAGAAATATGCCATTTTGGCAGAAGATAAATTTAGTTCCTTCGAAACAGATCTTATTGCAAAGCAAGCTGATGCTAGTTTCTTCCTTAAGGAGTCAGTATGCAAGGACCATTTGAGATCACTGTCAATGAGAATACCTAGAAATTTCACGGAATTTACGATATTGATTTGGCTCTCATTCAAAAGCAAGGGTTGCATGACTCCTTTATAAGATAATGCTACAGTCTTATCCACGTTAAAGCTAAGTAAGTTGGAGTCTGACCAAGCTCTATAATTGTATGCCTAACACTAAATACCAGACAGTACCTCAAATTTTACTTTCCCTGTCACAACCTGTTGATTTTCAATAATAGATAATCATATACTATCATCAACTCCTCCTTAGATTAATATCATACCAAAAATTAACCTTTAGCTTAATGATTATCACAAAAATAAAACCAACAGCCAAATTCTGAGATAATCTTTCCTATAGCTGGTCAACACTAACTCATATTACGAGATTCTCTACACAGATGCATCTAAAACTAACACAGGTATCGTAATAACTTCAAATAATATTATTAAGAAGTTTTGCCTTTCACAATCCACCTCTATCCATACAGAAGAGCTATACGCCATCCTAGAAGCATTAAAAGGCTTATGTAACCAAACTAAAGTAAAAAACGAAAATATATATTCCGAACATCCATTAGCTCATGCCATACATGAACCAACAAAATGTCTCAATTCTTCTAGAATAAACTTAACATTAATCTGGATTCCTTCATACGTTAGATTTTAGGTAATGAAACTGCTGATTCTGCTGCAAAAGAAACAATTTCAACCAAATCGGACATCAAATCTGTTCAACTAACATCAGATCTTTAACCACTTTTCAGGTATCAAATGAAAATGTCATGGCAAAACCAATGAAAGAATTCAACCGTGAAATTACACAAAATACAACTTTCCAACGAAACCTCTCAGCTGGGTGACAAAGTAGAAGAGACAAATTAAGCGATCGCAGGCTAAGAATTGGTCACACATGGACACCTGATGGCCTCGGAGAAATCACCTGTTTTCTGTGTAGTGAATCACTAACCATTCAACATATTCTTACAGAGTTTGTCAAATTCGACGAGGTTTTTCGAAAACGATTTGTCTTTACCCCAGGATAAACCTCAGTTTCCGTAATAATCTTAGTTCATTTTCATTTTTTTTGTCTGGAGAATTCTTTTGAAGCCTTTAAATAGCAAGTAGCTATTGGGATCCACTTCGAAATAACAGGAAAGTTGTGAAATGTACTTATGTATTTTTGAATAGAATATAATAGAAATATGCTTTATTGTCACTGAAAATTATTGAACAATTTTATGGACAAAGCTAAAAAATAAATCAGTCAAATGGTACAAAAAGTATAAAACAAAAACAAATATAGTAAAAAACAGAATAACACAATTTTAAATTAGTAAAATTATTGTATAACCTACATAATTTGTACAGATAACAACAAATGAGACAAATTGTAGCCACTGCTTGAGACACCCAAATGTAATTATAAACAATACTAATTTTGTTTCTTTGTTATACATTAAGAAACTCGTCAACTGAATAATATGGTCTTTCTGAGAGATAGATTTTTGTCACCTTACGAAACTTAATGAAGAATGTTGCGGATTTAATTTCTCTTGGAAGGTGATTATAAAGTTTCTTTGCACGATATAGAATAGAATTCTTTACTAGCTGAGTGGACGAGATCGGCAAATAAACGTTACAATCCGAATTTCTAATGAAGTAGCCATGGTCAGGTCTATCGGGAAAAATGTTTACATGCTTTCGAATCAAACAAACCGTTTCCAAAATAAATAAAGAGGGAAGCGTCAAAATTCCGTGATTTTTTAAGTAGGTCTTGCAATGAGTTGTTTGTTTGAGACCAAATAGATAACGGATTGCTCTTTTTTGCAACTTAAAAATAGTATCAAATTGGGCCGCTGTACTAGAACCCCAAAATGGAAGAGCATATCGAAAATGGGACTCGAACAATGAGAAATATGCCATTTTGGCAGAAGATAAATTTAGTTCCTTCGAAACAGATCTTATTGCAAAGCAAGCTGATGCTAGTTTCTTCCTTAAGGAGTCAGTATGCAAGGACCATTTGAGATCACTGTCAATGAGAATACCTAGAAATTTCACGGAATTTACGATATTGATTTGGCTCTCATTCAAAAGCAAGGGTTGCATGACTCCTTTATAAGATAATGCTACAGTCTTATCCACGTTAAAGCTAAGTAAGTTGGAGTCTGACCAAGCCTTGATTATAAGTAAATCAGCGGTTATAATTGAATGAAGCATTGAAATATCAGAGCTGCTCCAAGTAGTACTGGTATCATTAGCAAATAGATCATGACGCAATAGATCATTTTGTCATCATGACGATATATTAATTCACAATTTCATCATTAAAACGACCTAATCCTGCAAAATAATATTCGTTATTGACAATGTATTCTTCTTTGCGTATTTCAGAATAAGAAACAAAAAACATCTTGCTCTTACTAACTTATTGGATTCAATACATTCTGACCTGAAAGAGAGAACAATTGGAATCAAACAAAAATATTCAAAATTACGGCTGATAAAGACATCTTCTTTTTCTTCACGTGCCATCTTCTCTAAGAAGGTTGGCAAACATCATGACAATTCGCACTTTTGACGCCACTGCTCTAAAGAGTTCAGCAGAAGTGCAGTTAAACCAAGCTCTCAAATTATTCAACCAGGAGATGCGTCTTCTTCCGCGACTCCTTCTACCCTGTATTCTTCCTTGCATTATTAATTGTAACAAGTTATAACGCTCGCCCCTCATAACATGTCCCAGATATTGCAGTTTTCTGACTTTAACTATATTTAAGACCTCTTTATCTTTTCCCATTCTTCTCAACACCTCGACATTCGTGACTCTATCTACCCAACTTATTCTTAATATCCTTCTGTAGGCCCATAACTCGATGGCTTCCAATCTGCCCGAAATATCTTTCTTTAAAGTCCAAGCCTCCAACCCATAAAATAATGCGGAGAACGCATCTCAGAAGTCTTTAAAGAAATTGAAATGTCCCTGCTACAGAGTACTTTTTTCAGTTTGTTGAAATAATTTCTTGCCTGTCCTATTCTTGCCTTATTCTCTTCTGTGTACTCATTATTTTCATTAATTATTGAACCCAGATATTTATATTTTTCAACTTTATTAATTTGTTCTTCATGTATTGTTATGTTTTCTTGGCGTTGTCGGGCTTTTGTAATTACCATAAATTGTGTCTTTTTTGTGTTTTGGGAGAGTCCGTTTTCTTCACTAAGTTCTACCACTCTGCCAGTCATTTGTTGTAAATCCTCAAGACATTGCGCTAATAAAATAGTGTCGTCGGCAAACCGTATATTATTGATTAATCGGCCATTTACTTTTATTCCCATAGTTAGTTCTTCTAGTGCTTCCTGGATTATTTCCTTTGAATACAAATTAAATAAAGTATGAGAAAGAACACAACCGTGCCTGACGCCCCTCTCAATCTGTATTTCATTTGAAAAGAAATTGTTCTCTTTTACCATATAAATATAAAGATATTAAATCTTAAATTACTCGTTTGCAAGACGTTTGCAGACGAAACTGCAAATCAGTTAAATATATAGGACATCATCTGGACAACAAACATTAAAAGGAACATATTAAAAAAAACAGGGGAACTAAAACTAAAATTTACAAAACTATACCGGGTACCAAACTAGCTTGGTGACGCTGTACCGCAGCAGGACATCAACTTATTGAGTGTACCAACACAATGGTTATGAATTCGAATTCTGGTTGAAATGAAAATTTTTACGAAAAAAGTTTGTCTTCTTTGTCAGATTCCCTACTCACATGCAACCTACAGCTTTTCTGGCTTGTATTGTTCTGCTTGGTCGTCTGTTCTTTCTCAATTAAATGTTGTTCATCAATAAGTGTATTCATCAACAGTTCCTATCTCCTTGTTGTTATATAGTATAAGATTTACAATGTCTATTTCAATGCTATTGAATGTAATTGAACAACACAAATTATTTTTCGTGATAACTTCATCTGGTTTCTGTGTTAACTAGATTTCTTTTTCCTCCATTTAATTTACTTTTTGATAACTTCTATACTATACATTTCAGATTCAAGATCAAGGAGTAGATCCCAATCTTAGGGATGGTGATGGTGCGACACCTCTGCATTTTGCAGCTTCCAGAGGACACTTGGACACTGTTCGTTGGTTATTAAAGCATGGTGCCCGTTTATCATTAGACAAATTCGGAAAAAGCCCCATCAACGATGCAGCGGAAAATCAACAAGTTGAGGTAAGCAAATAAATTTGAATTTATTCTATGGGTACCTAATATATGGCTTTACTGTACCGCCAAATAGATGGCACCTCTGTGCTCGAACCACTTATATTGGGAAAATTTTGGAGATATTAGTTAGACTTTTTGGTTTGAATCGGAATCAGCTTGAATAGTTGACGAATAGAGATACGGAAATAACGGTTATATCATTGTATTGATTCCGATTCAGACGTGAAAAGTTTGACTAATTTGCGCTTCAATGCCATAATATGGCTTTTATTTTATCAGAGCAATAGCAAGACTAAAAGTAACTAATACTTGCGTATACAGTGTAGGAAAAATTTTATGGTCGGTATGGACCTTACGTGAGATGGAGTGAGAAACAGCTGTTTAAAAAGAGAGAGGTATATTAGGTACGCCCTTTATATCACCGAACCTTCATGCCTAGAAATAATAAAAAAGAAGAAGTTCAACGTTGCCAAACTTATCGGTTTTATTTGACCTGTTGTCTTTTTTGCATTTGAACAATGTTCTATCAAGAAGATAAAATGCTCAAGATAATCAAATTTGGGCGAAATTGATTTAAATGGCAGGTTACTGTTTTTTTATTGGGAATATGCCACAAGCTTTCTTTACAATAATTGTAATATAACATTTTGATTTCCATTTCGGAAATCGTTTTATATAAATAAAATTTATTAATGTTTCGTATTTTAAGTACGATTTCCGAACTAAAAATCTAAACATCAAAATAATTTCCCAATATGAAATAATAAACAATTAAACATGCATACAATAACGCCATATTAAAAAATATACTATTACTAAAATATACATACACTAATTCTTTGGCAACGTCTAGTCTAGATAGTCGTCTGGTCAAAAGATCGAGTAACGAGAAGTAGAGGTGGGTCGTGCTAGTTTATCGTTAATTGCGTAGGAGCAAAATTTCGGGCCAATGTTTTTTAAAAGCATTCATTTTTTTCGAATCCTGAGAAAACTAATAAATATTTTTGAAAAATTTAAACGCAGAATGAAACAATACATTATTACCGAGAGCCGAAAGTCCCTGAAAACTTCTATAATGTTTATTTTAATAAGTTATAGGGATGAAAAAAAAAAACAAAATTTAGTGTGATTTTTAATTTTAAATATCTCATTAAAAAAACTTTTTGTTTATTCTAAGGGACTTTCGGCCCTCGGTAATAATGTAATCTTTCATTCTGCATTTAAATTTTTCAAAAATATTTGTTAGTTTTCTCAGGATTCCAAAAAAATTAAATTTTTTTAAATGCTAAAAAGCATTTAAAAATTTTAATTTTCATAAACAAGTAACTATCATTGTTTAAAAGTAGTTTCAAGTAAGAGAGTACCTACATAAACAAACATAACGGCTATTATCGTTTATGTGTATATCTTTTGAAGTGAAAGAAACTACCTAATGATATATTTATTATAACTTGAAAAATAAACTAAACAATACAAATAGTAAATCGGACTTACATTTACATTACACGTTATTATTAAATCGCGAATAGTCTAAATTGATATAAAAACAAGTTTTTCTTGTAATGGACTCTCGATGCAGGTATACGTGTAGATGAGTCATCTCCAATTAATTGATCAAAAATACACCATGGACTTAAGTCATATTTATTGGTTTCTTTTTCTTGTACTGGTTGATTTTCAATAGTACAATCTTCTTGTTCGTTAATTATAGAAGTAACCAGCTTCTTAACTTTTTGTTTTATTCTGCACTTTAAATCGTGAATCCATAAATGTACATAATGACAATGTGCCACTCTGTTCTATCCCTCTAAATCTTTTTGCTAAACCCGATATTAGTAATTGTACTATGTCGGATACTATGGATGTAAAATTTAGCAAACGGCATACTTACGGCATTTAAAAATTAGGCAGCAGCCTAATAAAAAAGTTTTAAATACTAAATTTTCGGTTAAATATTGTCCTGTTAATGCGAAATAACTCTCAGTTACTCCAGATGTCCAGAGGTCAGTAGTAATACAGATATTTTCTACTTCTTTAACAACTTGTGATCTAATAATTTGCTCACTTTTGACATAACATTCCTGAAGTAATGAACCTGACAAAGTTTTTCTTGTTGGCGGTTTATATCCAGGAATCCACCCTGCAAACTTTTTAAAAGCTGGTTCTTTAACTATGGAAAACGGATGAAACGAAAAGTTTAGTAAATCTTGAAAATCAATCAGTCCAAGAAAAAGAAACTGATAAAGATGACTTAAGTCCATGGTGTATTTTTGATGAAATAATTGGACATGACTCATCTAAACATATACCTGTATCGAGAGGTATAAAAGAAGTCGACATGTAATTGTCTGATGAGATATTACCCACAAACAATTTCGAACGGAGATTGGAACTGTCCATTACCGTGGTGAAAAAACCATCGCCATGTATATGGTAACTTAACCACTATATTCATAAAATGTTGTAGTATTGTAACAAAATCTTTTCCTTGTGAACACATGTTTAACATCTGGTATAATTTTAAATAAAAGAAGAACGCGATCAACAAGAAAGGTGGAAAAACTTATGTTTTTAAATGTCAATTTAGACGATTCGCGATTTAATAATGTGTAATGTAAATGTAAGTATTTAAGTACCATTTGTATTATTTAATTTATTTTTCAAGTTACAATAAATATATCCTTCGTTAGGTTCTTTTATTTCAATACTTATACACATAAACGATAATAGCCAATATCGATACATTTTTGGCAAAGTAACGTAAGTGACATTTTTGGCGAAAATAATGTTTTTCAATTAAACTAATGCTATTACTGTTAAAAAGGTACTGAAAGAGTGTAGTAAACCTAGATTTACTTTAAACCTTTTTTAGGACAAGTTTTTTCAGTCATAATTTAAATAAGTTTAAGCAGGTTGAATTAAAAAATTGTTTTTTCTACAAATCGTTTTTGGTGACTTACGTTACTTTGCCAAAAATGTATCGATATGTTTGTGTACTCGCTAATTTGAATACTGGTAAACAATCAACTAGTTACAGTTTACGAAAAACGGTTCCGATAAAAATTAAAAAAACGAGAGGACCCACCTCTAGTTTTTTAGGTATATTAGGATCGGAACCAGAGAATATCTGATCGGAACTAATCGTCTCACTAATGGGCAATGGCCAATGAGTGTTAAAAGAATTTTAGGAGGGGAGACGAAGGGGAAATATGATTGTTATCTTTGTCTAATTCGCTGAAAATATGATTTTATATCTGCGTTAGATATACTGTTAAATTTTACCATACCGACCTTAAAATTTTACCTACACTGTATATGCTTACAATATTTATATTTAATATTTAAAGAAATATCTTTTTTTGTAGTGTCTGAATGTCTTAGTCCAGCATGGAACTACACCAGACTACCAAACTACACTGGATAAATTCTCCAATGGAAAGGGCTGTTCATGTACAAGAAAAGGAGATAAACTTAGAAGAGTAAGTATTCTAAATTTATAAAGTGATAGAAAATAAAACAACTAACAAGAAAGATCTTTCGAAAGTTGACGAAAATCGACAAACATTTTTAGTTTCGAGTCCCTACGAGAAAAATCTGGTTGGTTGGCAATATAAAATAATAAAACTTTTTTTTGTAATTGGTACATTTTACAACTATCCAAATTCGTGAGTTAAAACATCAAAGCAATTTCAGATTTTAAACCTTAGATTAGAACGAATTTGGTTCTCATTGTCCAAAATCTTACATTTGCCTTTTCCCATTTATATTTCTATCAAAGAAACCATAAAGTTTTTTTTAATATTGCTGATTAAATTGAAAACGTGCTATTTATTCACTTTCGTGGTTTGCGCATCTTCGAGCAGCGATACTACTACCAAAGAATATAGACGCATATAGAAGAATCTTTCACTGTCTCTGCAAAGGTTATACATATATTACAAAGAAGAAGAAGTTGAAATTTCTTAGAAAAAATACTGTGATTCAAATTTTTAATTTAAATATGTACAAATCTACAAATACAATTAAAACTGTCTTCGTATAAATTATAAATAAAATAATTAAAAGTTAATCACCGCTAGAGACAGCCCAAAAAATTGTAAGGTGTTTCAATCAACAAATAATTCCTAATCTCGTTAGTACGCTAGAATTGCTTTTTAGCACATACACCAAAGAATTTATTTTTTACAATTTGAAAATTCGAAATTGTGAAGTATAATTTAGGATTTTTCAATGTAAAAAAATAAATAAGTAAGTCTCAAATAACGCCTTACCAGAAATCAAACAGGAAGATGAGGAAAGAGACAAAAATGGCTGCTGGGACATGGACCATAGCAAATCCCGAGAAAACCAAATAACGAGAGAATACCATCACTCCGCTAACAACAGTCTTTGCTAAGAAACCATGGGGCTCTAAACGAGCAGACTAGATCATAAAGCACCGTGACAAAAATATTCAGATTGGTGGTAGTACATAGACACCATCCTGATACTCAACTATATTGCGCTCAGTCAGATTTAATCATTAAAAAACTGAAACAAGCACTTGATGAGTCTCCTATCGGATGTCAGAATGAACTTCTGCAATTCCATAAAACATTGTTTAGCAAAGGAACGAAATGGACGACTGAAGTGGTAAAGACTATGGAGGAATTGTGGGAAGAAGCAAACTTAAATATAGTTGATGGTACCTCATGGTCTTTACACGTGTCCACGAGAAAAAGTCTGATAATGAAACTATTAGGACCCATCTAAAGAGGCAAAATCGAGATCTTTATACAGAAGACTGGTTGTCATCTCTGTTCCACTGACTTAACGACAGTAAAGATAAAGGTCATAGAGGGAGAAGATATGATGAAGACAAGTATCGGAACAGCATACCTCCCATATGGCAATCCCGAACAACCATCAAGCGTAGTTGGAACAACTAATGAGATATTGCAGGAAAAATGAACTGTATTTAATCACAAGCAATAATGCAAGTGCGTATCATCTGACCTGGGACAGTA